AGACTCTAAAATCACCAGATTGACCCTCAGTTCCCCACTATCTAGTTTAAAAGCCAACCAAAATGTCTGCAGAGTCCACAAGAATGGCCTGAAGGCACCCACTACGCTGGCTTGCTTTGTATCAAGTGGAATTCAAAGTTCCACATTGAATATCACCGCTAGTAACCACTGATTATTGTTGTGAACAGTTGGCTCCTCCACAAGGCAGAAGGAGAAGAGAGCCAGGCTTAGTCCCAGGTCTTTGTCCATTTATGCCCTGAAAGCTCTGAAAGGTGAATAATGATGTTTCTTTGAGCATGCATAGTCTTTCAAATTCATAGTTCAGGTTGAGTATCTCTTATCAAGAAATGTTTGGGACAAGATGAATTCTAGAGTATTTTCCAATGTTGGAATATCTGCACATACATTATGAGATGACTTGGAGATGGGGTTTAGATCTAAACATGAAATCTGTTTATGATACTTGTTGTTGTTGTCGTCGTCGTTGCTGCTGCTGCGTGCCTTTAAGTCATTTCTAACTTATAGTTTCTCTAAATCAGGTTCTTCTGAGTATCCCAAAGGTTACTCAGTGTAGTGGGTTTTCCGTGAAGATCTGAACCCTGGTCTCCAGAGTCACAAAGGTTTCACATATACCTTATTATACACATAGGTTAATGGTAATTCCATACAAAAGATTTGTAATAATTTTGCGCAGGAAACCAAGTTTGTGTACAATGAATAATCAGAAAGTGAAATCACTATCTGTCATCTAAGTGGACAATTTTGAATTTCAGGATAAGGTATGTACAACCTATGTTTTAAACAGTTCTCTTTAGGTAATTCATATTGTGGAGATGCTACAGCTTCCATGTGCATAAACTCAATATGACTTACCTATGGAAGTGAGCCAATAGCAAAGGATGATGGGAGTTGTAGTCCACCTTCTGGGGAAGCCCCCCCTTACAGAAGTTGAGATTACAACTTTCATATGCTCTCTTCAGGGAAATCGATAATGAAAGATGATGGAAGTTACAATTCAACCTCAGGAGAATCAGCCCCTTTCCACACAGCTGTATAAAATCCACATTGAACTGGATTATAAGGCAGCGTAGACTCATATAAGACTCAGTTCAAAGCAGACATTGTGTATTGTGATTTATCTGCCTTGATATTCTGGGTTATATGGCTATCTGGAAGGGCCTTGCCATGAGTGAGGTGACCCCAGACCCTACAGAGTCTGGGCGACAACAGACATGAGCCAATAAGGAAATATAATGGGAGCTGTCATTACTTAGTATACCCTTGTTCCTATAACTGACAGGACTACAACTCCCATGAGCTCCTCTTAGCCTAGCCAAGAGCGAATATAATGGGAGCTGCAATCTGACCTCTAGAGAGCCAGAAGTAGCCCTGCCATGACTGAGGTAACCATCGACTCTACAAAAGCTGAGCTACAACTCCCAAAGGTTCTCCTCAGGGAAGCCGATGAAGGATGTTGGGAGCTACAGTTCAAACGCAGGACACCTAGAAGCAGTCCTGTCACTATTAAGGGTAGGACAGAGGATGGATTGCAACTCCCGTAAGTCCTTAGCGAGTCCTACAGAGATTAAATCAAGCATGGACAAACTTGGGCCCTCCCTCTAAGTGTTTTGGACTTCAGCTCCCACAAATCCTAACAGGCTTATGATTGTACTTTTTATGTTATGTAACTGTTTTCAGGTTTTATGTGCTGTACGTTGCTTTGAGTTCCGTTCTGGGAGAAATCTGGGATATAAATAAATAAATAAATAAATACTCTCTTGAGTTCTCCTTACAGAGCCCTACAGAGAGGACTTATGGAAGGAGGACTTATGGAAGGGTTCACTAAGAATGACTCATAGAAGTTACAGTCTAATCTTTGGGGCTCACCTAAAGAGGACTCATGTGCGTTTTAGGAGGACTCTATCCTCCTAAAAGTTATGGTTGCAATCTGTAGGAATCACTAAGGAGGACTCATGGGAATTACTAAGGAGGGTTCATGGGAGTTCCAGTCTAATCTGTAGGGCTCACTAAGGAGGACTCGTGGAATTGTAGTCCATTTTCTGTAGGGTTCACTAAGAAGGAGGCCTCAGGGGAGTTACAGTCCTAGCTCTGTATAGAGCTCACCTGAGGATGACTCATGGGAGTTATGGTCTTATCTGTAGGGTTCACTAAGGAGGACTCATGGGAGTTACAGTCTAATCTTTAGGGCTCATCTAAGGAGGACTCATGCAAGTTTTAGTCCATCCTCTGTAGGCCTCACCTAAAAAAGACTCATGGGAATTTCAGTCTAAGCAGTAGGGCTCACTAAGGAGGACTCATGGGAGTTACTGAAGAAGGTTAATGGGAATTACGGTCTAATGTGTAGGCCTCACTAAGGAGGACTCATGGAGTTGCAGTCCATCTTCTGTAGGGCTCACTAAGGAGGACTCATGAGAATTAACAGTCTAACCTCTGTACAGAGCTCACCTAAGGAGGACTCATGGGAGTTATGGTCTAATCTGTAGGTCTCACTAACGAAGACTCATGGGAGTGCCAGTCTAATCTGTAGGGTTCACTAAGGAGGACTCATGGGAGCTACAGTCTAATCTTTAGGGCTCATCTAAGGAGGACTCATGCAAGTTTTAGTCCATCTTCTGTAGGCCTCACCTAAGGAAGACTCATGGGTATTCCAGTCTAATCAGCAGGGCTCAGTAAGGAGGACTCATAGAAGTTACTAAAGAGGGTTAATGGGAGTTCCGGTCTAATCAGTAGAGCTCACTAAGGAGGACTTATGGAGTTGTAGCCCATCTTCTGTAGGGTTCACTAAGAAGGACTCATGGGTGTTACAATCTAACCTTTGTACAGAGCTCACCTAAGGAGGACTCAGGGGAGATACAGTCTAATTTTTAGGGCTCATCCAAGGAGGGCTCATGCAAGTTTTAGTCCATCCTCTGTAGGCCTCACCTAAGGAAGACTCATGGGAATTCCAGTCTAATCAGTAGGGCTCGATAAGGAGGACTCATGGGAGTTACAGTCTAACCTTTGTACAGAGCTCACTTAAGGAGGACTCATGGGAGTTACAGTCTAACCTCTATATAGAACTCACCTAAGGAGGGCTCATGGAAGCTGTAGTCGAACCCAAGAATGGGCAAACTTTTGCCCTCCAGCTGTTTTGGACTCCAACTCCCACAACTCCAATTGTGGGAGTTAAAGTCCAAAACACCTGGAGGGAGGGCCCAAAGCCTGGATTAGACTGTAACACCCTTGAGCCCTGCTTAAGTGAGGCCTACAGAGAATGGACTACAACTCCCATGAGTCCTCCTTTGAACAATGGCTTCAAACTACAAGAGAGGAGATTCCATCTGAACACGAGGGAGAACTTCCTGACTGTGAGAGCCGTTCAGCAGTGGAACTCTCTGCCCCGGAGTGTGGTGGAGGCTCCTTCTTTGGAAGCTTTTAAACAGAGGCTGGATGGCCATCTGTCAGGGGTAATTTGAATGCAATATTCCTGCTTCTTGGCAGGGGGTTGGACTGGATGGCCCATGAGGTCTCTTCCAACTCTTTGATTCTATGATTCTATGATCCTTAGTGAGCCCTAGAGATTAGACTGTAACTCCCACAAGTTTTCCTGAGGTGAGGCCTATATGAGGATGGACTACAACTCCCATGAGCCCTCCTTAGTGTGCCCTACAGATTAGACCATAACTCCCACGAGTTTTCTTGAGGTGAGGCCTACAGAGGATGGACTACAAATTCCATGAGTTCTCCTTAGTGAGCCCTACAGATTAGACTGTAACTCCCACAAGTTTTCCTGAAGTGAGGCCTACAAAGGATAGACTGCAACTCCCATGAGCCCTCTTTAGGTGAGGCCTAAAGAGGGTGGACTACAACTCCCATGTGAGCCCTACTGATTAGACTGTAACTCCCACAAGTTTTCCTGAGGTGAGGCCTACATGAGGATGGAGTGCAACTCCCATGAACCCTCCTTAGTGAGCCCTAGAGCTTAGACTGTAACTCCCACAAGTTTTCTTGAGGCGAGGCCTACAGAGGATGGACTACAACTCCCATGAGCCCTTTAGGTGAGGCCTACAGAGGGTGGACTACAACTCCCATGTGAGCCCTAGAGCTTAGACTGTAACTCCCATGAGTTTTCCTGAGGTGAGGCCTACAGAGGATGGACTACAATTCCCATGAGCCCTCCTTAGTGAACCCTAGAGATTAGACTGTAACTCCCATGAGTTTTCCCGAGGTGAGGCCTACAGAGGATGGACTACAATTCCCATGAGTCCTCCTTAGTGAGCCCTAGATATTTGACTGTAACAAGTTTTCCTGAGGTGAGGCCTACATGAGGATGGACTACAACTCCCATGAGTTCTCCTTAGTGAGCCCTAGAGCTTAGACTGTAACTCCCACGAGTTTTTCTGAGGTGAGGCCTACAGAGGATGGACTCCAACTCCCATGAGCCCTCCTTAGTGACCCCTAGAGCTTAGACCAGGGATAAGCAAACTTGGGCCCTCTGGGTGTTTTGGACTTCAACTCCCACAATTCCTAACAGCCTACCGGCTGTTAGGAATTGTGGGAGTTGAAGTCCAAAACACCCGGAGGGCCCAAGTTTGCTTATCCCTGGCTTAGACTGTAACTCCCACGAGTTTTCCTGAGGTGAGGCCTACATGAGGATGGACTACAACTCCCATGAGTCCTCCTTAGTGAGCCCTACAGCTTAGATTGTAATTCCCACAAGTGTTCCTGAGGTGAGGCCTACAGAGGATGGACTACAACTCCCATGAGCCCTCCTTAGGTGAGGCCTACAGAGGATGGACTACAACTCCCATGAGCCCTAGAGCTTACACTGTCACTCCCACAAGTTTTCCTGAGGTGAGGTCTGCCTGAGGATGGACTACAACTCCCATGAGCCCTCCTTAGTGAGCCTTAGAGATTAGACTGTGACTCCCCCGAGTTTTCCTGAGGTGAGGCCTACAGGGGATGGACTCCAACTCCCAGGGGCGGGACTCCCTACCTACCGCTCGGCGTCGCGCCCGTCGAAGAAGACGAAGTCCCCCCCGCGGACGCAGTTGGCGCAGGTGAGGCGGCGCCGGGCGGTGTTGCAGAGCGGGCAGCGCTCCACGGCCACGAAGAGCCCCTCGTAGGCCGGGCCGGGAGACGCCATCTTGGCCGCCCGGAGGGTCACGTGAGGACTTTGTTTTCAACAAGGAGCATGCCGGGAAAGAGGAAAGGAGGCGAGGCGAGTGAAGGAAGGGTGTGACGTAATCAAGGGGGCGGGGTTAATCAAAAGGGGCGGGGTTAAACGCACGCAGTGACGTACAAAAGGGGCGGGGCTTTTAGGGTAGGCCGCGTCGCACTCACTTTCTGTTGCCATGGCAACGTAAGCAGCCATGAGAGTTCGAGCGGGGTAGAACTGCGTTAATTCTACAGTGTAGACACATTCCTATATAAATTTGGGATAGATATCAATCTGAAGAGATAGAGATAGGAATTATATAAAAATATAAAAATAATAGAAATAAAAAAATATAAAAAAATATAGAAATTGTATAAATATGTAAAAATAGTATAAATATATAACATTCATATATAGATATAAATAGATATGGATATAAATTATAGATTGATAAAGCCTAAATAAATATAAATTAAGGTTATAAAAATATACAAATTACAGAAATTGTATAAATATGTAAAAAAATATAAATATATAACATTCATATAGATATAAATAGATCTGGATATAAACTATATATAGATAAATATAGATAAAACCTAAATTCATATAGATATAAATAGATATGGATATAAATTATATAGATAGATAGATAGATAGATAGAGAGAACCTAAATAAATAAATATAAATTAAGGTTAATACACAAACATTATAGAAATAAATATACAACTTATATAGAAATATACAAATTATATAAATTGTATAAATATGTAAAAATTGTATAAATATAGAACATTCATGTATAGATATACATATAAACAGATATGGATATAAATTATATAGATATAGATAGATAAGACCTAAATAAATAAATATAAATTAAGGTTAATACATAAAAATTATAGAAATAAAAATATATATAAATTTTATAAATATGTGAAAATGTTGTTCACTCGTTAAGTCATCTCCGACTCTTCGTGACCTCATGGACCAGCCCACGCCAGAGCTCCCTGTCGGCCGTCACCACCCCCAGCTCCCTCAAGGTCAGTCCAGTCACTTCAAGGATGCCATCCATCCATCTTGCCCTTGGTCGGCTCCTCTTCCTTTTGCCTTCCACTTTCCCCAGCATAATTGTCTTCTCTAGGCTTTCCTGTCTCCTCATGATGTGGCCAAAGTACTTCAACTTTGTCTCTACTATCCTTCTCTCCAGTGAGCAGTCGGGCTTATTTCCTGGAGGATGGACTGGTTGGATCTTCTCGCAGTCCAAGGCACTCTCAGCACTTTCCTCCAACACCACAGCTCAAAAGCATCGATCTTCCTTCGCTCAGCCTTCCCTAAGGTCCAGCTCTCACATCCGTAGGTGACTACAGGGAATACCATGGCTTTGACTATGCGGATCTTTGTTGCCAGTCTGATGTCTCTACTCTTTACTATTTTATCGAGACTGGACATTGCTCTCCTCCCAAGAAGGAAGCGTCTCCTGATTTCCTGGCCACAGTCTGCATCTGAGGTAATCTTTGCGCCTAGAAATACAAAGTCTGTCACGGCCTCCACATTTTCTCCCTCTATTTCCCAGTTGTCAATCATTCTTGTATTGTCAATCATAATCTTGGTATTGAATGTTTGCCATATATATGTTGTGCTCTGCCCTGAGTCCCTTTGTGGCGAGAAGGGCGGAATATAAATGTTATATATAGGTGTGTGTGTGTGTGTGTGTGTAAAAATTATATAAATATAACATTCATATAGATATAAATATAAGTTATATAAATAATGCAACATTTCAAGAAACTGTTTTTTAAATGATATTTATTTCAAAAATACGAACTCAAGCTTCTCAAGTATTTTTCAACAAGAGCTGGGATTTATATCTATATCAATATACAGATATGTACATGTATATGTATTTGTTACATACCATATTTCACACGTAAAGAGCCATTTTTAGTGCAGAATGCAAAATGTGGTTGAACATATACAAACCTATATGTTCTTTATGCATTGTTTGTTTTTCCATTTCGAAATTAAGACGATTTCTTGAAACCTTTCAAGATTGGGTAGATGTTTTCGAAGGCTTCGTATATCTCGGAACGGTCCTTGGCGCCTGGGAAAAACAATCGACCAAAAAAGAATTCATTAGATTCCCACTGAGAATGTAGTCAGCACTCCGTATCCACAGATTCGACCACCCACGACTTTAAAATAACCCACCTAATAATATTTTAGTATTATTTTGTTTCATTATTTATATTCCACTTTTCTCCCAAGGCTAATAATTCCATATTAAAATAATACAGATCCTACACCCTGAGGCCCAGAACCCTTTAAAGTTTGCAATGCATGCATTGCTTACCTGTCAATACAACTTTTCCCGATACAAAGATCAGCAGAACGATCCTCGGTTTGACCATTCTGTAGATGAGGCCTGGAAACAGTTCCGGTTCATAGCTGCAATTTTTGAGTTTAAATGTCATTTGCAAAAAAAGGTTGAAGGTTTGAAACACATAAAAACTCATTCACAAGTTTGCAACTGTCAGAATAGATGGAGTTAGTAGCCCACAGAAAGGCTCAACCATTTTTACTCTCAGTGTGATAAAAACTCAAAAAATACACACGTGTCTGTTGCTTTAAGTAGAAACAAAAATATATTTCTATTCACTGTAGATCAAAAACACAAAGCAAAACAGAAGAGTTGTTCTCACCAATATACAACAAACAATATCTCTGGTGAGTCTTCTTTACACGACAATATGCAAACACATAACAAAATAAGACAGTCCCTCTACTTCAGTGGTTCTCAACCTGGGGTCCCCAGATATTTTTGGCCTACAACTCCCAGAAATCCCAGCCAGTTTTCTAGCTGTTAGGATTTCTGGGAGTTGAAGACCAAAAACATTTGGGGAACCCAGGTTGAGAACCACTGTTCTACTTAGTTATCAGTAGAATGTCCTTATCTTGCCACAAACAAGCAGTTTCTCTGGCACTCCAAACGGATTCAGCTTCAAGATGCTGCATAACCACTCCCAGCAACAACCAGCGGTTTCTTCAGCTCAAACAAGCCAAATGCAAAGCTCAAAGCTTGCAAACCTAATGCCTTGTTTATACTAAATCAGATAACACACCCAATTAACTTGAGGCAGCTGTAACAGAAGAAGATCCTCCCTGTTACTTAGAAAAAGCCTGTTGTAATCCTCTAGTAGCAACAGCAACAACACTTTCCCCTTGAAATATTTGAAACACGAGGTCTAACCTGCATTAATTCTACAGTGTAGATGAGGCATGGGCAAACTTCGGTCCTCCAGATGTTTTGGACTTCAACTCCCACAATTCCTAACAGCCTATCGGCTGATAGGAATTGTGGGAGTTGAACTCCAAAACACCTGGAGGGCCCAGGTTTGCATATACCTGGTGTAGATGCACCCCTTATTTGCTCCCTATCAAGGTGAGGGCATACCTACTGAACTGCTGATGAGTGAGAACCAAGCCTTCCAGCCGGATAGAGAACTTCACATCACAACTGCCGACCATGTTTTGGATTTTGAAATCCAGGAATTTTGCTGGGAAGCCAAGTTTCTGCACCACGCGAGCGTACTTCCGGGCAGCCAGCCGGGACTGCTCTTCACTGCAGGTTAATTGGAAAGGTGAGCAGCAAGGAGGTCATTTCAGGTCATGTTTGTGTCCCTGATCTCATCCCAAAAGTTTCTTTCCATAACACTATGTAACCTGTTTTTTGTTCCTGAGTTATCAATGTCATTTCCTAAAGGCATTAGAAATGGCATTGATAACTCAGGAACAAAAAACTAAGGCAGAAGAGAGTGGGACTATTCCTTTCCTTAATTTATCCTGTTGATGCAGATTAGTATAGCATTGGCTATTAACTTATGTTCAGATTGTTGTCTGGAAATCACAAATCCCTAATGAAGGCGTCTTGTGAGGCTTAGCTTGGAGAAGGTGGTAATAGCCATGTTTAAATATCGAAAGGAGATTGTGTGCTTTAATTGTTTTTTGTGTGTTTGAACATTTCTTTGTTAATACTTTGTGTTTATCAAATGACATGCTCTGAACAACAGTAGTTCATGCCTTCTGTTTCTTGCTTAATGGTATCAGCAAGGGTTGCTAATTGCAGCATCAGAAAGAGGGATCTCATGTGACATTATCACACCTCTTCTGTAAGGGTTCGTCTACACTGTAAAACTAATGCAGTTTGAGACTACTTCAACAGCCATGGCTGAATGTTATGAGATCCTGGACGTTGTAGTTTGGTGAAGCAACAGCACTTGTGCTGTCACGCGCTGGGCCTGTGAAAGAGTCTGTAGACAGGACATGTTTTCTGAATGCCCAACGGGACGCCGAGGGTGCCTCGGCTGAGAGGCCTTCCGGATTTCCCCACAAAAAGTTCCTTTAAAGACTTAGAAAGTTCAACAAAGTTTTTATTGATGCTTAAATCTTCAATAAATCAAACAAATACTTCAAGGCTTTGAATCAACTGGTGGCTTGCTTAAAACTTGTCCACAAGGGACAGGCAACTTTCTTCATAAACTGTTTCTTCCTCCTACAAGGGAAATCCTTGACCCCTCCCTGGGCAATCTGACTTAAGCTCTGCTGGTGTGGGCCCCTACACCCGGTCCAAATTGCGTTATGGCTGCCGCGAGTGGTCCTTCCCACACAGAGTCCTTTAGTAGATTTCCAAGAGGAAAGAAGGCTTTCAATTCCCAGCGAAGGCTGGCTGTAAAACTGTGGAGCTGTATTTCTCCAACAAAGGCTATGCTGTAGTTCTCTGTAGAGCTGTGGGACTGGATCCCCCCAGCAAAGCTGTAAAAGACAAAGCTTTCTACAGGTGGAACGGATTCACATCCTGTACGAAAGGTTTCTCTGTGTGAACTGAACTAGATGTCCCCTTTTCCCCTCCTTAACCCAGAAAAAGGGGTGGAACTAAAGAACATAATGATAATTGATGGGTCATTGGCTCTATGAATGCAAACCAAGAGAAGCCACCTTATTGCAAAATGCATGGAACTTTGGAAAGATGCAAACACTCAATAGAAAGGAAAAGAAGTTGGAGCTCCTGATACAGCCGTACCAGCACAGCACTCTTTGGTGGAGATAGCAAAAGACCTTGTAAAATGACAACTCCTAAGATCCCATAGCATTGAGCCATGGCAGTTGAAGTGGCGACAAACTGTATTAATTCCACAGTGTAGACACACCCTCCATATCAGATTTATGCCTCAAAACCTGCAAGCCAGGAATTGTCCTGAACCTGGCAAACCTATTTACTAGGGCTGGGCGGTTTCATTCGTTAATTTCGTAATTCGTTATTAATTCGGTTTTTTTTATAACGAAGCGATATTGAACCATTCAGGAGCAACTAAAAATCGAAACAAATTTTTCAATTAGTTTCGTAATTATTTCGTAATTGTTTCGAAATCGTTTCAAAATTGTTTCGTTATTATTTCTGCATGTCTGGTGCAAGTTTTATAGTTGTTGTTTGTTTTATCAGTGAAAAAAAATATAATTATCACACCAACAGTCAAAAACAGAGGGAGAGGGAAGCTTCAGAAGTTCCCCCTGTCCCATTTGGAGGGTTTTTTAGCGTATTGAGCAGTCGTGTCCGCCATTAACGAATCGATTCGTAATTGTTTCGTAATTGTTTCGTAATTTCCGAAATTTCGTAAATTTCGAACTTTTTTAAAGAAAAATTTTGGAATTCTTTTAAAAATCGAAACGCAGAAACCCCCTAAAAACGAATCGAGTTTAGAAACAAATTTTTCCGTGGTTGCCCAGCCCTACTATTTACAAAGAATGGAAATTCCATCTGAACATGAGGAAGAACTTCCTGACTGTGAGAGCTGTTCAGCAGTGGAACTCTCTGCCCCAGAGTGTGGTAGAGGCTCCTTCTTTGGAACCCTTTAAACAGAGGCTGGATGGCCATCTGTTGGTGGTGCTTTGAATGCAATTTTCCTGCTTCTTGACAGAATGGGGTTGGACTGGATGGCCCATGAGGTCTCTTCCAACACTATGATTCTCTGAAAGATGCCAAGCAATCTTACCTTTTGGCTCCCGTGCAGACCATTTTGCCGGAACTAAATATAAGAGCAGTTGTTCTCGGTTCTCTGATTCTCATGATCACAGCAGCAAACCTCTAAAATTCAGAAAAATCCAGATTATCACTCGGTGAGCCCATGGGTGCATTTTATACACTCATTACAGCTATTTGTCTTGTAAAGAAGTTGCTTCCTTTTCTCCTGCTGGGGATCCTTCTACATTGCCATATAAACTCCAAAGTATCTGCTTTGAGCTGGATTAGATGGCAGTGTAGACTCTTATAATCCAGTTCAACGCAGATAATCTGAAAGGGTTAAGTTTAACATTTTGCTTCCTTTTTTCTGTTGGTTTTTGGCACCGCATCCTGCAAAGCACCCAAAAGTGAACAATTTCCAGATGTTTCTGCCCTTTTCCTTACCTTGGGGTTGTATTCTGCATTTCTGGCATGAAGGGCTATATTCTTGAGGTCCAGCTTGCAAGCCAGATTGACAGTGGCCACTATATTCCTAGGAGATCAAACACAGGTTTTAAGGAGGGAGCACAACCCAAGGCAACACAGAGTGATGAAACCCAAAATAGAATTGCAGGCGGAACTCCACATTTAGGTGGAGACACCCACAAAAGTGGGGAAAACATGGACCAAACAATCTTACTTACTTAGGCGATCCCTCATTGTCTGAGTAGGATTGTCTTCCAAGGTCGGTGTACTGGAGGTAGGTCAGTAGGTGACTCTGGAGCCCTATTCTTAATCTGCATCTTCTCCTGCAGTGAGGGCATTGGTTTCCAGGTGGAAGGCGGTCCCAGTCAGGGTTGGCTTGATGTGCCTATTTTTTGGCACATGTTTCTCTTTCGTCTTGTATTCGTACCTCTTCAAATTCTACAACACTGCTGGTCACAGCTGACCTTCAGCTGAAGAACTCAAGGGCCAGGGCTTCCCACTTCTCAATGTCTATGCCAGAGTTTTTAAGGTTGGCTTTGAACCCATCTTTAAATCTCTTTTCCTGTTCTCCAACAGTCCGTTTTCCATGTTGAATTCGGAGTAGAGCAACTGCTTTGGGAGATGGTGGTCGGGCATCCGGACAACATGGCCAGTCCAGCGGAGTTGAAGGCGGAGGACCATCGCTTCAATGCTGATGGTCTTTGCTTCTTCCAGCACGCTGACATTTGTCCACCTGTCTTCCCAAGAGATTTGTAGGATATTTTGGAGGCATCAAAGGAAGGCTTCGTGTCTTCAAATATAGGGCATTTGGATTGGGGCTGTGAATGTTCAGGCATTTGCAGCCATTGAGAAAGAGGGAACCTTGAAAAGCTTCTCAGCTGCGAAATCTCCTTGGATCCAAGACAACCAGAGACTGTAATGTATATTTTCCTTCTCCCCTTTGAAACTTCAAGCTTATTGCCTTAAAGGGACAACTCTTTGTGAACAATAAAACCTATTTTGAGTTAGCTACAGTGTTTTGGTCCTTGGGAGTTCCAGTTCTTTGAAGGAAGGCAAGAAGCAATCCCCTGGGGGAAAGATGTCACATCTATGTCTCGTTCACTAAGAGTTATAGCCCCCAGGCGCGACAGCATATTAGGACAATGGCTTCAAACTACAAGAAAGGAGATTCCATCTGAACATTAGGAAGAACTTCCTGACTGTGAGAGCCGTTCAGCAGTGGAACTCTCTGCCCCGGGTGTGTTAGAGGCTCCTTCTTTGGAAGCTTTTAAACAGAGACTGGATGGCCATCTGTCAGGGGTGCTTTGAATGCAATATTCCCGCTTCTTGGCAGGAGGCTGGACTGGATGGCCCATGAGGTCTCTTCCAACTCTATGATTCTATGATTCTAAGTTACTGAAAAGTTATTCATAACATTACTGTAAATAGCTGTGCTAAAGACAGCTGAAACAAGCTTAAGGCTAGATATTGAGTGATAATTATGTGATATTGAGTGATAATTATGATGAGTTCTTGTGGGTTTTTTCGAGCTATAGGGCCATGTTCTAGAGGCATTTCTCCTGACGTTTCGCCTGCATCTATGGCAAGCATCCTCAGAGGTAGTGAGGTCTGTTGGAATTAGGACAATGGGTTTATATATCTGTGGAATGGCTGGGGTGGGGCAAAGAGCTCTTCTCTGCTGGAGCTAGTGATTCCAGCCATGAAAGCCTTCGACAATACATTGATACTCAGTTCTTGTGGGTTTTTTCGGGCTATATGGCCATGTTCTAGAGGCATTTCTCCTGACGTTTCGCTTGCATCTATGGCAAGCATCCTCAGAGGTGAGGTCACCTCTGAGGATGCTTGCCATAGATGCAGGCGAAACGTCAGGAGAAATGCCTCTAGAACATGGCCATATAGCCCGAAAAAACCCACAAGAACTGAGTGATTCCAGCCATGAAAGCCTTCGACAATACATTAATAATTATGATGATGTGTACCCCACTTTTCTCCCAGGACTGAGACCCATTTGAAGTGTTTTGCAAGACCCATCCTTAAGAGTTGACTCACTGTAATTGGGGAACGATGCCTGAACTTTCGGAGGTTGGAGTCATTGGAGTCATTGGGGTCACAGGGAAGAAGCCCCCCAGTGAATCAGATGATGGCTGAGCTGCGTTTCCATCCCTCGGCCGAGATGGACTGCTGTTGTCCAAAAACGTCCCATTCTCTTGCATCTCCGACAGAGCGCCATGTTGATCTCTCAGCATGTTGTCCTCCTTGCTATTCCGGTCCAAATCGTCCGGTAGGAAACTGAGGTCCACCGAAGGGAAATCTTTGTCGACCTGGGAACTCAATGATATGTCCAAGGGTGGAGACATAGGCATGTCCGTTGCAAAGGGGCTCATGGGAGGGAATTGTTGTGGACTGGTGGATGGAAGGTCATCCTGCAATAAATATAAGTGAAAAGAAGTGTTAAGACATTGGATCTTGCAAAGTACTGAGCACTATTGAGTTTTGTATCCTTAGAGATGACACCACTCTGATGGCCGAAAGCGAGGAGGAGCTGAGGAGCCTTCTAATCAAGGTGAAAGAAGAAAGCGCAAAAGCTGGGTTGCAGCTAAACATAAAAAAACCAAGATTATGGCAACAAGAATGATTGACAACTGGAAAATAGAGGGGGGAAATGTGGAGGCCGTGACAGACTTTGTATTTCTAGGTGCAAAGATTACTGCAGATGCAGACTGTGGCCAGGAAATCAGAAGACGCTTACCTTCTTGGGAGGAGAGCAATGTCCAGTCTCGATAAAATAGTAAAGAGTAGAGACATCAGACTGGCAACAAAGATCCATTGCATAGTCAAAGCCATGGTCTTCCCTGTAGTCACCTACGGATGTGAGAGCTGGACCTTAGGGAAGGCTGAGCGAAGGAAGAGAGATGCTTTTGAACTGTGGTGTTGGAGGAAAGTTCTGAGAGTGCCTTGGACTGCGAGAAGATCCAACCAGTCCATCCTCCAGGAAATAAAGCCCGGCTGCTCATTGGAGGGGAGGATATTAGAGACAAAGTTGAAGTACTTTGGCCACATCATGAGGAGACAGCAAAGCCTAGAGAAGACAATTATGCTGGGGAAAGTGGAAGGTAAAAGGAAGAGGGGCCGACCAAGGGCAAGATGGATGGATGGCATAATTGAAGTGACTGGATTGACCTTGAAGGAGCTGGGGGTGGTGACGGCCGACAGGAAGCTCTGGCTGTGGGCTGGTCCATGAGGTCACGAAGAGTCGGAGACGACTGAACGAATGAACAACAACAACAATCCTTAGAGCTGAACTTTCAAACTCATTTTTATGGAGGGCCACATCAGCCTTATGGTTGCCTCCAAAGGGCCATTGAAGCCATGGATGGAGAATCTGTGGCTATAGAGAGCAAACTATCTATCTGTATGTATATGTATATGCATATGCATATGTAGTCGTCAGTGTTCTTTAATTTTTACCCAGTTTGTTGTTCAATATTTTATTGAACAACAGCTTCCATCACTTTCGGTTATCTACCATGTGGACTGGGGTTAATGGGAATTGCAACCCAATGGTACTTGTGGCTCTGCAGTTGGGAAAAGGCTAAAGGATATTTTAACCTCAGACATCATATCCACAATATAACAACAACAACAACAACAACAACAACAACAACAACAACAACAACACTTTATTTATATTCTGCTCTTCTCACCCTGAAGGGGACTCAGGGTGGTTGTTGTTGTTCATTATTAAGTCATTTCCGACTCTTCGTGACCTCATGGACCAGCCCACGCCAGAGCTCCCTGTTGGCCGTCACCACCCCCAGCTCCTTCAAGGTCATTCCAGTCACTTCAAGGATGCCATCCATCCATCTTGCCCTTGGTCGGCCCCTCTTCCTTTTACCTTCCATTTTCCCCAGCAGAATTGTCTTCTCTAAGCTTTCTTTCTTCTCATGATGTGGCCAAAGGACTTCATCTTGGCCTCTAAGATCCTTCTCTCCAATGAGCAGTCGGGCTTTATTTCCTGAAGTATGGACTGGTTGGATCACAATACATATACATGGCAAACATTCAGTGCTGCTTTTTGTATAGACAATACACAGAAGGAGGTGCCATGGAAGGTTGGGCTTCAGTCCAGGGGGTGCTGTTGCTCTATCCTCTATGACGAAGAGCCATCAGGAGATCCTCCTTCCTTTTGGTCGCCCAGCATTTTCTGATCTTCTTTCTTTATGGCATCGTAAAACACCTCCCCTGCTTTTAGCAGTACCTAATTTCTCTAATCACAGCTAAAACCGTTTTCGAATTGCTTAGGTAAACAATGAGCAAGGCTGACAGTTGGCTGCTCACGCCGACCTGGGGTTTTGAACTTGAAACCTTTTGGTTGATAGATCTTATCACTGCTGATGATCTACCAGTTGTGCTAAACCTCTGGCCCTAAACCGCAAGCTTTGTATCTAAATCCAAACCCCTCTCTCTGACTAAACAGAACAAACTGCAGTCTTCAGATATTGCTGTATCCCAATGGGGATAATGGGAATTGCAACCCAATGGCACTTGTAGTTCTGTGGTTGGGGAAAGGCTAAAGGATGTTTTAAACCCTTCATCATCTCCACAAGCCATGCATCTAAATTCAGACCCACTCTCCTGACTAAACAGAACAAACTGCAGCCTTCCAGATGATGTCCCTGTATCCCAACTCCCATCAGCTCTAGTCATGATGTCTAATGGTGAGGAATAGGGAGTTATAGTCCAGCATCTGGAAAGCCATATAAAGTGAGCCAGTTTCGACCCACAGATCTCGAATTTGACCCATGTGCCTTAGAGACATAGAATCATAGGGTTGAAAGAGACCTCAAGGGCCACCAAACTGCATTAATTCCATTGTGTAGATGCACCCTTGGAGGGTACTTCAGAGGAAGGAACAGCCCAAAACCAATTCAGAGTATTCCCTCCTAAGGAAACCCTTTGAAATGTATAGGGTTGCCATGTCAATAACTTGAAAGCACATGTGTATATGTGACTATAAGTCAGACATGATTTAGTACTGGTTTCATATCTTAATGTCAAAAGCCCTGTACAATTGAGATCCTCTGTTTCTTTCAGCCCTAAGTTCCCATTATCTTGAAATCTTGGAATTCCAGGCTTCTCGCCCAACGAAAGGTTTTTCCTCCCTTGGCTTGGGGTGCATCTCTACACTGTGGAATTAATGCAGTTTGATACCACTTTAACTGCCATGGCTCAGTGCTTTGTGTAATGGGAACTGTTGTATTACATGGTCTTTAGCTTTCTCTGCCAAAGAGTGCTGTTACCTCACCAAACTACAACTTCCATGACTTCATGCAATGGAGTTACAATGATGTCAAACTGCATTAATGCTACAGTGTTGACGCATCTAAGATATTATGTATTAAACAAAATAGTCATTGTATTATTGAAGGTTTTCATGCCCAGAATCACTGGGTTGTTGTAGGTTTTTTCGGGCTTTATGGCCATGTTCTAGAGGCATTCTCTCCTGACATTTCGCCTGCATCTATGGTCCTCACTACCTCCGAGGATGCTTGCCATAGATGCAGGCGAAACATCAGGAGAGAATGCCTCTAGAACATGGCCATATAGCCCGAAAAAACCTACAACAACCCAAAATAGTCATTAAAACATCTCTGAAAGCAACCACAGTGTAAAGCCATATGTACACATGTGTTTTCTCCTTATACAGTTTGTCAAGTAATTCTCCAATACATTACATACCACCAATACATACATTAAAACCTACCTCCCTGCCTAAAAACAATAAACATTTAATTTAAAAAAATAAAATGGACTTGCCACTTTAAAGACATGCAACTAATATATTATTGTCATCCTCTGCTTCCTCTATTATACCTTATAATCGCAATATTTTCCTTAATATTCAGAGCCCACAAGCATTTTCATTTTTCCTTCTTTATGAATGATGCAAACATTGTGTTGAAAAAATGGTAGTCTTTTACAAACAAGATAACCCAGTCATGGGCAAACTTTGGCCCCCCAGGTGTTTTGGACTTCAACTCCCACAATTCCTAACAACCTATGGCTGTTAGGAATTGTGGGAGTTGAAGTCCAAAACACCTGGAGGGCCAAAGTTTGCCCATGCCTGAGATAACCTGTCCAGTTCTGCCAGTTTGAGAACATTTACAATCCAGTTTTCTTTCAAGGTTAATATGCATTTTGAAGTCAATTCCCAGGGCTTTCAATCATAATCATAATCATAATCATCATCATCATCATCATCATCCCAACCCTATATTTTGACTTGGCACCAGAAAAGAAAGTCAGAATTGGTATCAGAGTAGACAGAACTGTGTCAACACTGTAGAATTAATGCAGTTTGGCACCGTAAAACCCCTTTCTTCCATGGCCTGCCACTTGAATTGCTTCCTGCAGACCTAATTATTATAATTAGAAGTACAAGAGAAATAACACAACTATATATTTAGTCCTTGCAAGAATAAATACAATTTTCTGAACTATGCAATAGAATGGCTTATTCACAAGGGCTGGACTTTTGTTTTTCCGTGTCAGGAGCTACTTAAGAAACTGCAAATCGCTTCTGGTGTGAGAGAATTGGCCATCTGCAAGGACGTTGCCCGGGGGACACCCGGATGTTTTTTGATGTTTTACCATCTTTGTGGGAGGCTTCTCTCATGTCACCGCATGGGAAGCTGGAGCTGACAGAGGGAGCAGAAAATGGTTCAATTTTTGTTAGTGTTATAAATGCCACTCATAGTCCCTAAAATACCTTTTGGGGCCAAGGAAAAATGTTGATACCTGCCTTGAGTTCCTCTATCAAGAGAAACATAGGATGGAAATACAGTAAATGAGAAAGCAAATAGATAAAATGGGAAATAAGTCGAAGGGATGTGCCCTAAAACCATGCTCAGGATACTTTCTCTTTACCTGGTTTGTGCACTGGTCTAAGTACTTCTCTAGGGAGAAATCCCCATCCATGGCTCTTCCAGGGCAAACTCTGGGAGAACTCACTTCTGAATCCTTTAGAGTATATTAAATGTTGGAAAGTTTAGCTCCAACTTCATATTTTCAGCTCAGGTGAGTCAGGTAAATATCTGCAGCTGTGTGAATGAGGATGCAAAGTGGAGATCCAGGTGGAAAAGGCTGACATTGGGGTCCAAATAAATTCCTAGGTGAGTGGGAATAAAGTCAGTTGCTTCTGCAACTGTAACAGGACCCAACATTTCCTCAGCTTGTTTCTAAGGTGCAATAAAATGCCTTTGCAAATTGATATTCCAAACAAATGCAGCAGCATCTTTAAAGCATCCATTGGAATATAATAAATCAGCAAAGACATAATGTTACTCTCCATTATTTTGAATTATTTTGATGTGTCTGTACCTATTTTGAGGCATTGAAGGTTTACCTTTTTATGTGTAAACCGCCCCAAGTCCTTCTGGGGAGAGAAGGCGGTCTAGAAATAAATTATTGTTGTTATTGTTAAGGTGTTGTCGAAGGCTTTCATGGCAGGAATCACTGGCTTGTGGTGTGTTTTCTGGGCTGTATGGCCATGTTCCCAAAGCATTCTCTCCTGATGTTTCGCCTGCGTCTATGGCAGAGGGGAGGAAAGGATGGAGGCTAGACCGGGGAAATCCCATTACTGATAATGGAATTTCAGCCTTTTGTTGCTATTATTGTTTTTTGTGTGTCCCCATCAGTTCCTTGCCTTTTGAAATGGGAATATAGTAATGATGACCTACCTCACAGGGTTGTTGTGAAGGTAAACAATAAAGCATGTAAAGCACTTGGAAAATTCACAAAAGAGTGTGTTATGTACGAAATGCCACTTAGAAAGAAGAAGAGGAGGGAAGGAGGGAAGGAGGGAAGGAGGGAAGGAGGGAAGGAGGGAGGGAGGGAGGGAGGGAGGGAAGGAAGGAAGGAAGGAAGGAAGGAAGGAAGGAAGGAAGGAAGGAAGGAAGGAAGAAAGGAAGAAAGAAAGGAAGGAAGGAAGAAAGGAAGGAAGAAAGGAAGAAAGAAAGAAAGGGAATGAAGGAGTTATGTATTGGGTTATTGTGAGTTTTCTGGGCTGTATGGCCATGTTCCCAAAGCATTCTCTCCTGACGTTTCGCCTGCATCTATGGCAAGCATCCTTAGAGGTTGAGGGGTCTGTTGGGAACTAAATAATTGAGATTTATAAATCTGTGAAATATCCAGGATGGGAGAAACCACTCTTGTCTGCTAGAGGTATGTGTGAATGTTGCAATTTGCAACCTTGATTAGCATTTAATGGCCTGCAGTTTCAAGGACTGGCTGGTTGCTGCCTGGGGGAATCCTTTGTGGGGAGGTGTTACACGTACCTCTAGCAGGTTTTCCGCTGACATTAAGGCTAGTTGTGTCCAACTCTGGGGTTTGGTGCTCATCTCCATTTCTAAGGCAAAGAGCCGGCGTTGTCCAAGGTCATGTGGCCATCATGACTGCATGGCGCGCCATTACCTTCCCACAGAAGCGGTACCTATTGATTTACTCACATTTGCATGTTTTTGAACTGCTAGGTTGGCAGAAGCTGGGACTAACAATGGGAGCTCATGCCATTCCCTGGATTTGAACCTGTGGCTTTTCAGTCAAGGATACAAAAGAGAATGCATTTGTAGAATAACTACAGAGTAACACTGGCAAGTAATGTGTGATTTTGACACATTTTAGGGAGGGTGTCTTAGATCCACAGCTGTCTAAAGGTGCATCTACCCTATAGAATTAGTGGAGTCTGCCACGACTTTGGCTTCCATGGCTCAATGCAATGAATTTATGGGAGTTGCAGATTTCCTAGGTCTTCTTTGCCAATTATTATTCTTAGATAAATGTTTCCTCTGACATTAAGTCCAGTCAAGTTCGACTCTAGGGGTTGGTGCTCATCTCCATTTCTAAGCCAAAGAGCTGGCATTGTCCATAGACACCTCCAAGGCCAGCATAACTGCATGGAGCACCATTACCTTCCCGCAGAAGAGGTACCTATTCATCTACTCACATTTGCATGTTTTCGAACTGCTAGGTTGGCAGAAGCTGGGACTAACAGTGGGAGTTCACGCCACTCCCTGGATTCGAACCTGTGACCTTTCAGTCAACAAGTTAAGCAGCTCAGTGGTTTAACCGGGGGCTCCAGGCTGGATCTACACATTGGCAATTTTATGTGCACAAAACTGGCATTTAAAGAACTGGGAACAAGCCAGAAGTGAGTTCTAGTTTTGGGAAAAAAAACTGCCTCTCCTGGGCTTAAAATAGCTCAAGGCAACCTAAAAACATGGCAAAACTGCCACATTCCTTAGAAGACATTTTGGGTATTTACTTATTTACAGTATTTATATACCTCCTTTCTCACTCTTGAGAATATATTATTGAGACATGGAATGCAGCCCCATAGCTTCCCATGATTATCCACATTTGCACAGAAAAACAATATAAGATCCAAGTGAGAGGATGCAGTGGTTTCAGCTGTTAATAAGGTTTTCATCAGTTTTCGCTGTTTTAATGTGTTAATATTTAATTCTATTTTATATTTTTAGGTTTAAAATAGTATTGGTTTTACTGCAAGTTGATTTGAGTCTTTTTTAAAGAAAAAAGCAGAGTTTTAACAACAATAAGTTCTGAAATAAAGAGCAAAAGGAAGGCTTTACAGAAGGCAACTGTTACAATTAATGCAATTTACATTAAGTATTCCATATCTGGAATTTCCCAAATACTCCAAAATTGTCCATCTGGGTTGCTTTCTGGTGTTCAACATACACAAACTTGGTGTCATGCACAAAAATATTTAAATAATTTAAATTATGTTCAAAATAATCTTTAGGCTAATGTTATGTTTAAATTTGGGTTCTTTTGTAAATATATTTTATTATTTATACACATGCATTTAAAAATCTGGGGGGGAAACTCTTCTGGTCCTTCGTGTTTTGGATGAATGATACTCAATCTGTATTTGAAAGAGCATTTGTGCATATTGTAAACATCAGCCCACTGAACAGCTGTATTTCACTTTATATTTTCACTTTTCACTTTATATGTTTTCAATACATTTGTTATATATTGTTTGTTTTACAGCAGAAACATATTATTCAATAGAATCTACCATGCTTTAACTTTTGGCATCTAGTGTTATTTTTCTGCTTATGCATATTATCTATCCCTCACCACTGTGCTCCCCTGTATTTCAATATAACCAAAACAATAATAATATTGTATTTGTTACCCAGCTCTACTAATGGCTCGAGGTAGGGTATGGCAGTCAAAACTTAACAAAGAACATATATCACAACACAGGGTTCAAATATGCAATGTGGTTATGTTAAGTGTGTACTTTGCCAGATAGCTACAAATCTTTCTATACAAGATCTAATTAAAGGAATCCTTTGAAAGGCGTCTAGGAAGGAAACACACACACAATGCCATGCATCTTCATGTTTTGATGTTTTAATAGATGACTAAAGTGAACTACAACATTACATTGGCAAAGAAAGTTGCATGTGCAGTTCCGAGCTCAGAGAAGCTTCAGTTTCAAATGCTTTAAATAATAATAAAAGCCAAAGGCTTGTGACCTTGTTTGGTGATTACTGTACACAATAAATAAGCACAACAATGGGGTATCGTTTAAAGTTGGGTAGCTGACAGAAGAGGTCAACTTTGTGTCCACTCATCCAGAACTGCATTCAGTTCTATGACGGTTTAGCATCAGGAAGTGAAGCAATAAAGGGAGCGCCATAAAGTGGAATGAATTCCTGTCCCAGAGGGAAAACTCTACTTCTCCGTGGAAAAGGCTCTTTTCATCAAAGGGGGAGGTGTTTTCCCCACGTCAAACATCATTTCCAAAGGAGGGTTATTGAGGCAGCACCAGTCTGGGATGCGGCCTGTCTGGTTGTAGTATTCTTTTGACACCGAACGGCTCCCGAGGATGTCTTGGAGGGCCCCAAAAATGGCTCCTGGGAAGTGGGACAAATGAGAAGTTTTGATTCATGAGACACAAACTAACTAACAAACCCAACAACACAAATGACAGCTGCTGTAGACTAGGCTTGGGCAAACTTCAGCCCTCCAGGTGTTTTGGACTTCGGTTCCCATAGAATCAAAGACTTGGAAGAGACCTCATGGGCCATCCAGTCCAACCCAATTCTGCCAAGAAGCAGGAATATTGCATTCAAATCACCCCTGACAGATGGCCATCCAGCCTCTGTTTAAAAGCTTCCAAAGAAGGAGCCTCCACCACACTCCGGGGCAGAGAGTTCCACTGCTGAACGGCTCTCACAGTCAGGAAGTTCTTCCTCATGTTCAGATGGAATCTCCTCTCTTGTAGTTTGAAGCCATTGTTCCATTGTGTCCTAGTCTCCAGGGAAGCAGAAAACAAGCTTGCTCCCTCCTCCCTGTGGCTTCCTCTCACATATTTATACATGGCTATCATATCTCCTCTCAGCCTTCTCTTCTTCAGGCTAAACATGCCCAGCTCCTTAAGCCGCTCCTCATAGGGCTTGTTCTCCAGACCCCTGATCATTTTTCCTAACAGCTAGTAACTTCCAACAGAAGCATACCATATATCAGATGTGCCAAATCTGGCCCCCATGTTCTTTTATGTGGCCTTCCTCCAGATGTTGGACTAGAACTCCTGTATTTCTCATCATTAGGCATCATGAGTGGATGGGAGTTGGAATACAGTCATATCTTGAAGGCTGCACTTCGTTAAGTCAGGAGAGTGGAGTTTGAATTAAAACACAAAGCTTGTAGATATGCTGACTGACTTTAAAATGTCCTTTAATTTTTCCCTAGTCCAGTTGCACCAGAAGAAGTAGTTTATTTTTCTACCCCGCCTCCATCTCCCCGAGGGGACTCAGGGCGGCTTACATGGGGCCAAGCCCAAGGCAACATACAATAAAAAACAGAACAATAACATATTGAAACAGCATAAAAACAGCATAAATAATAATAAACAAGCATCAAAAGCAACAACAGACTCATTTTTGGAGGGGAGGGATGGGGCCAATATGCAAAACTAGTTAAAGCAGGGGTCCTCAAACTAAGGCCCAGGGGCCGGATATGGCCCTCCAAGGTCATTTACCTGGCCCTTGGTCAGGATCAACCTAAGTCTGAAAGCATGCAACAACAACAACAATCCTATCTCATCAGCCAAAAGCACCACCTAACATCTGCCGGGAAGTAGCAGCCAATAGTGAAAGGACCAAGGCAGAGACATCTCCAGCTCATCCCTTGGGTATCAGCCAGCACGTCAACGACTTAAATCTAGAAATAGTTTTCTAAGATCTACAGAGACACTCGCTGGAACACCTCAGCAAGCGAGAGTCCAAAAGTGGCAGGCTCAAACCCAGAACCTCAACCAATGGCTGATACCAATGAGAGACTCCCTCCTGGGCACACAGAGGACTGGGCGACTTGGAAGGCGCTGAACAGACTGCGCTCTGGCACCACGAGATGCAGAGCCTACCTTAGGAAATGGGGCCACAAAGTGGAATCCGCAACATGCAAGTGTGGAGAAGAGAAAACCACTGACCACCTACTGCAATGCAACCTGAGCCCTGCCACATGCACAATGGAGGACCTTCTTGCAGCAACACCAGAGGCACTCCAAGTGGCCAGAACTGGTCAAAAGACATTTAATCAACTACCAAGCTTGCAAACTTTGTGTTTTGTCTGTTTTGTTCTGTTAGAAATGTAATACAATTAACTGGTTGCCCTGACACGACAAATCATAAATAAAGCCAAAAGCAGGCCCACACTTCCCACTGAAATACTAAGTTTATATTTGTTAAAATTGTTCTTCATTTTAATTATTGTATTGTTTTAAGTGTTTTGTGCACTACAAATAAGATATGTGCAATGTGTATAGGAATTCATTCATGTTTTTCTCAAATTACAATCTGGCCCTCCAACAGTTTGAGGGACTGTGACCTGGCCCTCTGTTTAAACAGTTTGAGGACCCCTGAGTTAAAGGATAAGGAGGTCAATAAGGTAGATAGGAACATGTAGTGGCATAGGAATAATAGCATAGGAAGAGAGCAATTAAACAGGATCAATTCAACTGAACTTAAAATGTAGTAATAAAATATAGGAATTTGAATTTAAGTCATGATTCAAGTCATAATTCAGTGCTGTTGGCCTTCAATTCCCATTATCCATAGTGCGGATCATCAAAAATGATGGAAGTTGTTGTTCAATAACACCTGGGGATCCAAACTGGGTAAAAACTAAACAGCACTGACCACTGGTCCTTTGAGGACAACCATATGGCTGGGATGGCCCCGGAGGACTTTGAAAATTCCCAGAAATGATATATTTTGTTGGATGTGGGTAAGTGGAACCACAGGTATAGGGGTTGCATAAGCTTGAGATAATCGTGGTATGCAAGCTCTAAGCTTTTAATATCAGGCTCCCCTCAGAGCAGAATCAATCTAACATCCCATTCCATTTATTAATATTATAGGGTTAATTTTCCCCTACAATATACAGCAGGCTCTTGGGATACTGTCAGCAAAAAATCTAAGAATCAATACTGTAAATAAAAATGTAAAAAAAATCATTTTTAATACAGTAAAATAAGTTTTTCTCATATAGCAACGATGTGTCCATAAAGTTTGACATAATTTGCTTTTAAATATTGTTACCATATATACTCGAGTATAAGCAGACCCGAATATAAGCCGAGGAAACTAATTTTACCACAAAGAAATGGGAAAACGGATTGCCTCGAGTATAAGTCGAGGGTGGGCAATGCAGCAGCTACTGGTAAATTTCAAAATAAAAATAGATACAATGCAATTACATTAATTGAAGCATCAGTAGGTTAAATGTTTTTGAATATTAACATAAATCTGTAATTTAAGATAAGACTGCCCAACTCTTATTAAACCATTATTCCGACCTTCTTCAATGTAAATGTGCTTACGTATCCTTCCAATAATAACAATAGAGTAAAATAATAAATGTAATAATAATAATAATAATGGTAATAATAATAATAATGGTAATAATAATAATAATAATAATAATAATAGTAATAATAGCAGTAATAATAGTGTAAAATAATAAATATAATAATAACAATAACAACAACAGAGTAAAATATTAAATATCCCTGACTTGAGTATAAGCCGAGGGGGACTTTTTCAGCCTAAAAAAAGGGCTGAAAAACTAGGCTTATGCTCGAGTATATAAAGTATTTCAATATTAATATCAGATCATTACAGAGCTTATAGTATGGTTCCGTATGCCAATTTGCAAAGTCACTCTCAAGCAACCATAAACTACTTTTATTCAGCATCTACCAATACCCGTAAGTGCCAGTTAATTGAGAGTCTACTGTTCCCAGACTCCTTAGATGTAGCAAAGTTTAGATATTTGCAAATTAAGGTCTGTAAATCTTTGAACAGCTTGACACTAAACTTCTGTGTGAGGCATGAAATTATTCATTAGATTTTCAGTTACTGCTCAAAGTTGGATCTATCGGATATGCCCCACCATTCCAGTTCCCCTCCCACCCTGTGCTTCCTCCTCAAATTATTCCCGACTGACCTCCTAACCAGGCCACGCAGTTGGGTTTTGCAGGCGGAGTGTGCACCCGGAAGGTCTTTGAGCCCAGGACCTCCTTGTACTTGGGCTTCTCCACCAAGTGCCTGATTTCGGCCATCAGCCTGTGCAGGAATCCTGGCAGCATGGCTGTGCCGCCAATGACCACCAAGTTCTCCGCCAACTGCTTTCTGGTATCTATTGGACACTGGCCAGAAAGAGAAAGAGAGAGAGGAGAGGAAACATTTCATTTGACTCATGAACAGATCCAGTCTACAGAAAACCAGGGTATCTCTTATGTGCAAATTGGCTGTATCCACTGATTCAATCATTCACATCTTGAAAGTATTTTTAAAAATTCCCTCCAAAAACTTTGCTATTGCCAGCAGGAAGTTATTCCTAATGTTTAAGTGGAATCTCTTTTCCTGCCATTTAAATCTATTGCTCTATTGTGTCCTTGCCTCTAGAGCAGCAGAAAACAAGCTTGCCTCCACCTCAATGGGTTGTTGTTGTTGCTCATTCGTTCAGTCATTTCCGACTTTTTGGAGTTGGGGGAGGTGACGGCCGACAGGGAGCCCACACCAGAGCTCCCTGTCGGCCGTCACCACCCCCAGCTCCTTCAAGGTCAGTCTAGTCACTTCAAGGATGCCATCCATCCATCTTGCCCTTGGTCGGCCCCTCTTCCTTTTTCCTTCCATTTTCCCCAGCATCATTGTCTTCTCCAAGCTTTCCTGTCTTCTCGTGATGTGGCCAAAGGACTTCATCTTTGCCTCTAATCTCCTTCCCTCCAATGACCAGTTGGGCTTTATTTCCTGAAGGATGGACTAGTTGGATCTTCTGGCGGTCCAAGGCACTCTCAGAACTTTCCTCCAACACCACAGTTCAAAAGCATCGATTTTCCTTCGCTCAGCCTTCCCTATGATCCAGCTCTATTCTGTTTTAACTGTCATGGCAACAACCTGTTTGTAGTCTGAGGTGGCACAAAGGGAGCTCTCTAGCTAAAGTTGTAAATGCCCTTCCCTAAACTACAAATTCTACTGTTTCATAAGATACATAAATGGAATCATATAGCCATAAATGTGTAATAGAAGAAAGGGTTTACTGTTGTCATGGACAGATGGATATCTGAAAAGAAACAACAACCAAGATTAGCTGTGGTACCTCCATAAGTGAGTCCAATATTAATGTGGCCACTGATTTTTCTTCATTATCTTGCTCAAAGAGTATTTCAACAACAGAGTCTCTGTGGATGATAAACAAAAGGAGGCACTGAGCAATCCACGTGCTTAAAAGGACCATTTATTTTCAAGAAATTAAAGCAAATTGCCCATCCCTTTCCACTTTTCCTACCGATTCCAAAGGGGTAAAATCGATCTTATAGTCAGTGAAGGAAGTAGCTAAGAAGAACATAAACTTATGTGAAATGTGATGCTGGATAAGGGTTTTACAGATAGTTTGGACTGCTAACAAGGAATATAAATGGGTCACAGAATGCTAGCAGAAATTGTTCCAATACCTAGTACATAAATGGTAGGAGGATAACTTGGTAATGCAAAACGCAGTCACACTTCTCACCTAATGGCTCCATTGACATGTAAAATCTTCTCTCCATCCAGTGGATAATCTACATCAGGAGGTGGGGTTGGTCGCTGAAACAGAATCAACATTTATCAAATGGTGAAATGCTTAAAAAATCTAACATTTTCACAAAATCAGGTCTCTTTGACTGAAATGGAAATACACCTTGTTCCTCACATACCTCAGCACTGCCATCCATATTGAACTTAGCCGCCTGGATTTTGAGCCCTCGCTGGAGGTCACTCACGAAGCAAGTGCGAACTTCAGAGAAAGACAAAAGTGACATATTCAAAGTATTCTCAATTACAGTGAGCCCTCCGAATTAGTGGGTTTGGCTTTTGATTTGATTATCTGTGGGTTTGATTGAAATGGGTTTTTTTCCCCTAGAAACCTCCAGGTCAGTAATGGCAAACCTTTAAGAGACCAAGTGCCCAAACTGGGGTAGGATGATGGAACAGACGAGCAGGGTTTGCCACTACCACAGTCTTCCAGTGCTGTTCTATGTCAACTTTTGCCAAAGTCTAATGTAAGATGCAATTAATTGTGGTTTGTTTTGGAGAATTATTGCAGCACTAAAAAGATGGTGCTTGAAGTCATCACACTAGAGAATGAACATCAGTTGCATTTATTGAATGCCTATAAAAGGGGGATTTATATAAACATATTTCTTTACCTTTTATGTCTTCTACAATGTCTTCTGGAACAGAACCTAAAAATATAAGAAGCAGTTTAGTTTAACAGATCTGCAATCAACATCAACTGACTAGATCTAAATGCAGAGTGTGCCGAGATCATAGCTGTGTCTCACAAAACAGATCTACTTTAGCTATTTTTAGGTTCTCAAGGTGATTCTATGACATGCTTCCACCAGAAACTTATCACACAGTCGGGCTATTCTCTCTAGGCATTTCCTAAGTCCTCCAGCACGACTGCATGGTTTTGCATTTTTCATTCAATAGGCTTCGCTATTACCGATAGTTTTGCACAAACTCATGAAGTCCTGGAATATATGCCCCACTGAAACAAGGGTCATACTGTAGAAAAAAGTCAGAGAAGTGTGCTTTCAAAATGCCAGCATTAAAACATATACTTTTTTCTGTTCAACACTAGTCTAACAGAACATTGAAATTGAGCATCTAAAGTCACAATATACTTAGCTTCTGCCAAGTCGATCTTAAAAATAAAGAACTGGAGAAATAGAGATCTTGTGTACTGACTATTCCCCTGATTTAACTAACATCATCACTGTTAGAAGAGGCTTTAGTAAGGCCCACTAACCATTGCTTCTTAGGGCCAATATTGTTGCAGTTTATGAGAAATATAATCCATCAAAGACACAGTAGCTCCACACAATTGAAAGGAAACATAAATTTATTATTTTTCTGCAATTTCAAAACATAAACTTGTGGCTTTGCATCAAAAATAAATCCTACAGAGTAACAAAACATAGTCCTTGTTTGCATCATAAAACACAGGTAGCATGGCTTCTCCAACTCCCAAAGGAGAGAGAGCAAGCATGTATCCTAAAACACACCCAGTTACACTCCATTGGACATGGCCCAAATTTACTGGCCTAATTAGCACCTACATATAATGACCATCAGAATTAGGTTTTTCCTTAACATATATATCTACTCCTACCTTGGGGTGGATACCTTAAATATGACTTCAGAAAGACATTTCCATCAAACTTAAGGAATACAGACTGCCCACTGATTTTACTTTTGTAATATTGATAATCAAATGGGGATAAAATTATCCTTCCTCAAAACAATTTGAATGAAAAGCATTTTTCTCAAATAAAAAAGATGCATTACCCATCACTGATGGGAGACTCTGTCCTTTGGTGGCTCCAGTGTCCACAGTGCTCTGCTCCAGAAGCTGGTACTCCAATTCTCTAAAGGATCGCAACCACAGAGATTATTTTAGCAAAGAATGGCAATTTAATCTCTCTGTATAATAGTGTATGGATGCATAAACATTTGTTCCATAAAGGCTATGGACTAGCACAAATATGCAACCCAAAATACATTCTCTCTAGACATTTCTAGGTCCTCTGGTGCAATTCTATGATCAATGGAAGCTGACCACAGATTTTCACTGGATGACACTCGCTGGAACACCCCAGCAAGCGAGAGTCCAAAAGTGGCAGGCTCAAACCCAGAACCTCAATCAATGGCTGATACCAAATGAGAGACTCCCCCCTGGGCACACAGAAAACTGGGCGACTTGGAAGGCGCTGAACAGACTGCGCTCTGGCACCACGAGATGCAGAGCCAACCTTAAGAAATGGGGCTACAAAGTGGAATCCACGACATGCGAGTGTGGAGAAGAGCAAACTACAGACCACCTGCTGCAATGCAACCTGAGCCCTGCCACATGCACAATGGAGGACCTTCTTGCTGCAACACCAGAGGCACTCCAAGTGGCCAGATACTGGTCAAAGGACATTTAATCAACTACCAAGCTTGCAAACTTTGTGTTTTGTCTGTTTGTATGTTTGTTTGTTTTGTTAAAATGTAATACAACTGTAATACACATAAGAATTAAAGGGCCTTCTGTAACAATATTCATAGACCAATGAGACCAAGAGAAAGCCGTTCTGTGAGGTTTTCAATCTCAGGCAGGCCCATATTGGGAGATACAGCCTTTCAAGCAGCCTGGAAACAAACTGTAATTATCACTATTTCTGCATGTCATCTCTGCATAACACGCTACTTTCTATACATATCGGACAAACAGTGGTTGACATTATGGATTTTGCAAAAAATCATGAATCTCTACAAGTTTGTAAGCCGGAGTTTGTAAGACACCTTGAGTCCCCTGCAGGGTGAGGAAGGGCATAAATGAAGTAAATAAATATAATAATAAATATAATAATAATAATAATAATAATAATAATGAGACTTCGAGCATAGCTACAAAGATTGTTCAGATATAGCATTTGTCAGTTCTCCGAACTGCTGTTTCTTAGGTGCACTGGCTTGTTACTTTCTGCATCTTTCCATTTGATTTGGAAAAGAGCACGCCTGGGCACACAGAAATCTTATCTCTAAATGTATTCAGTATTTCTGTCCATAATATGAATGCTTTAACAAAGCACCTGCTGTCAACTTACTTGTGAATGGCTTTTCCTCCCAAAGGAAGTGCACCCCAGCAATTCAGAACAGGGATTCCTTCATAAATCTGCAAGCAGCTCAGGATGCTTCATTGATGCTATTTATCATACAGGCCAAATACATGCACTAAAATGCAGATACAGTCATTTTGGCATGATCCATAGACTTTGAGTAGTTTTACTTTCTTATAATAGTTAAATAATTGCTGATCTTACAGTTAATTAGAGTTGCTTTTATTGGTAAGACTCTGTGCTCTTGATTTCTTATGCTTAATCTTTAACATTTTAATTGCATTTCTTTCATAAACCATCTTCTATTCCATTTTGGGGTAAAGGCATGCTATAAATCCAAGAAACAAATACATGTTTTTCCCAAGGCTACAGGTTAATTGGTTGATATGTAAACTATGTATTCTTAACTAATGCAATCCTGATTCCTTCCTTATACTGAAGAATTTCAGGGAGAGGGAACATTGAAACATAAAGGATACTGGTAACACCAGACTTTCTGTGTAACCGCAATCCAAGACCATGGCTGAATTAATCCCAAGGGTCAGAAGGGACATCAGGTGACCTGGGGCAAAGAGCACAGAAGGAACCTAGACAAAAAAAAGTAGACAAACTGAGGAGATGACAGTGAAGATGTTCTTCCACTGTGATTTATACACAGAAGCCCCGGGTCTCATTATCCAGTTATAAGGATCTGATGAAGGAAAGATGTTGCCAATAATGGACTTGGCTATCAAATACAGTTGGTCCTCCAAATTTGCAGGTTTGATTATTGTGGATTTGATTAAGATGTTTTTTTAAGCATATTTAGGTCCTCTATTATGATTATATGGCCAGCCTTTGGCAGAATTGCTCCTCTCGGACAGAAAAGATCTACACTTTTGCCATTATTGTCTTAAAAATACATGGAACAGACCCTTATTCTCCCCAGGGGCATGCAAGACTCTTCTTTCTACCATGTCTATTCAAATGGATATAAAAAGTTAGTGAGAGCTTCATAAACACTATTAGAGCAAATACTGTTTGTCCCACAAGTTCACATCTGAAGCAGAGTATGGAAAAATTATGGGATTGCAGCTCTCAGAATTTTATGTAAAATAATAATTTTCCAAGCTCTGGTCTGAACCTGGAAGCAAAACAGTTTTCATACTAAAGATTGTGATAGTGACACCTAGCATGCAAACATAGACCTAGGCTTCTGGCAGTCTCCCGGCAGTGATTACAGAAGCTTTTGAAAAACCCTGTTCATGTCAGCAGATGATTCTCCCACCAGCAAGCCAAAAAATATTAATATGTATTAAGATTCATACCTCAAAATATTTGAACAGAACCTTTGTGAGTGTCTCTCTGAAATGGGAAGGGGACAGCACTGACTCCACAATCACAACACGACGGTCTCGGGGGTTTACCAGTAAGTGTCTGAAAAGTTAACGCATAAGACCAGAAAGCTGAATCACAGGTGGTTACCCGTCTGTACAAATTCATTTCTACATAGCTATTCCAGCTGACTTAACATTCAGAAGATGATAAACTTCAAAGTCTAATCTTACACACAAAAAGGTGGAGTATGTGTTCTCAAAGGCTTTCATGGAATCACTGGGTTCTGTGAGTTTTTTGGGCAGTATGGCCTACTGGAACATGGCCATACAGCCCGAAAAACTCACAGCACCCCAAAGGTGGAGTAAATTCCCCTAATAACAATAGATTTATGTCCAAGTAATCAGGCACAAAATGATATGATTGATCAACATATCAAAAGGGATAAAAATGTTGTTTCCTGACACAGAAACACTTTATGAAAGAACTAGATAGCTTTCACGCACCATGCTTTTTATCATTTCATTTTCATATTGCTTTAGATGTTCTGTTTTAATTTAAACTGTAAGCCACTTTGAATCCCATTCAGGAGAAAGGTGGAATAGAAATCAAATCAATCACACAGTCCTATGATTCCATACTGTACAGATGCCAAAAAGAGTTTACAGAGAAGAGTGATCTAAAACTTCTATTGTAGAGATCAGGTTGTATGTTTTACTGCCTTTATTCCCACTCATGTTATGGCCTTGGGACTTGTTCACCTTTTACCTTGCACTTTATAAAATATCCAGTAGAGATACTGTGAACACAGCACTCTCACTTTGCCCTATACTGTATATTGTTTTTTTTAAATTTTATTTTATTTAAATATACATACATTTGCAAGTGTACCATCTCTGCCTGATGAAGAAGCCTATGAAGTGTTGAAAGCCAGTGTAGTCTATTTTGTGCATTTTGTTTGGTCCAGGAAAAAGATATCACCATAGGAGTGATTTATTTTTGCTGCTTTTATAGGTAAAGGTAAAGATTTTCCCGACATTAAGTCCAGTTGTGTCCGGCTCTGGGGTGTGGTGCTCATCTCCATTTCTAAGCCGGAGAGCCGGTGTTGTCTGGAGACACCTCCAAGGTCATGTGGCTGGCATGACTGCATGGAGCACCCTTACCTTCCCGCCGGAGCAATACCTATTGATCTACTCACATTTGCATGTTTTCGAACTGCTAGGTTGGCAGAAGATGGGGCTAACAGCGGAAGCTCATGCTGCTCCCCGGATTCGAACCTGTGACCTTTTGGTCAACAAGCTCAGCAGCTCAGTGCTTTAATCTACTGCACTGGGGGCTGCTTTTATACCTTGCAAAAATATAGATTGCTCCCAGAACTTGGGGATACAACAGGTTTAAGGAAGCTTCTATTTGCTGGATATTAACAAGCTTGGCTCAATGCTAAGACTCATATAGCAGCATCTTCATAAGTACTACACCGTATCCTCTGCAGTCTGAATAGAACTGAAATTCTAATAACTTGTTTTTATTTTGATTTTACACACACTCTCTCCTGGCCATTTATTTTAATTTATATCCCAACTCCTAAAAAATGTCAGGGACAAGGTTACCAAAAGAAAATGAATTTTCCCTTTGTTTCCTACCTGAAATAAAGCATGTGTATAAATTCCTTCAGGTAGGAATACAACTCTTCTGTGTTAATGTTGTATTGAACCACTTTGACAGGCTGTGGAGGGAAAAAAGCATAATCAAAAGCAATTTTAAAAATACCTCATATATATGTTGTATCAGCTACTTGAACAGCATGTTGGAATGTAACCATTTTTAACTAATGTGCTTTTCTCCATGCAAAATTTGAACATTAACTCTCCAGGGAAATGAGATGCCAAGGAGGCTGCACTTTGAGTACCTGTTCATTGGTATCTCCTAGCTTGCTTGCTTACTTTTGGCTAGCCCACCACTGCCATCCAACAAGCTCAGTACTTATATGATTATTGAGGATGACCTTCATGGCATGGAGTCATTTTACTCTTTTTGCCTGGTACACTATTTGCAGTCATTCCTGAACAGAGACAGCTTAGTCAGCATGATACATGCATTACTAACCTTGAACATTTAACAGTTTAATCTTAATAGTTTACTCTAGACAGTTCAATCTTATAGAGTTCTATAGTTAGCAATATTGTTGTATTTTACAGCATTTTATGGCTGACATGTGTGTCAGTTGATTCAGACGTGAAATATAAGACAGGGTTCCTGTACCTAATAATTGTGCAGAAAAATAAACTTTTGCAAGTACTGATTGCCATGCAAGCAATCAGAATCATAGAATTGGAAGAGACTTCAACAGCCATCCAATTCAACTCCCTGCCATGCAGGGAAACACTATCAAAGCATTCCTGACAGATAACAATCTAATCTCCATTTAAAAACCCAAAAAGAAAAATATCACATCACATATAAATGCCTTCTTCTACACAGTTCTTAAAAGTGCTGAAGCCCTTCCTTTTATTATTCATAGGTGAAAGAACCTGCAATTATCCAAGTTGACATTTACCATACATTGAAATAGTAACGCCACTCCATGTTTTTGAGAAAAGAGGCCTACCTTTGACATGCCTGGTTTTTTTATTTCACTAGGAATGACACATCTTGGTCCTGTTTCTCCTGCAAAGCCACACCTGGAAAAATATATTTATATATATAAACATACATTTATGTAAACCAAAGAACAATAGAATTTAGATTATCTGATTTTGTTTCAATGGCCATTAAATTGAGTATTTCATCCAGTTGGGGGGTTACCATAACATGCCAACAGCTTGATCAAAACGTCACCCCTTTCTCAAAAAATGTATATCTAGCTTAAGGAACACCACATTTTCCACCTTATTCCTGTATATTTTACTATAGATTCTTGGATTTCTTAACGAACACATGCAACATTACCCCCAGTGCTGCATATGTTGTAGCATAATACTGATGAATATACAAGAGAAAGGGTCTTAAAATGCTCTTTTACTTCCTTCTTCCTCATCTGAATTCAGTTGCTGCAAACTGAGTTCAAAGTGCGAAAGTATTGTGCGCTCCATTAACTCAGCAAGGCATGAAGATAACTGAAATCTTATGTTTTTGAGGAGGTTCAGGTGAAAGCTAACTGCTGCAGCCATTCCTAACTTTTATTTGTTTATGTTTATTTATTAATATTATTATATTTATTTATTACATGCCACTTTTTCTCTCGTGTTTATTCTTCAGTATTTATAACTGTTACTTGACTTGGAGACTGCTTGGATACATGTTCCAGTTTTCTTCATTTGCGCTTTGCTTGTTTGTGAATTGGATTATATTATTCGTTTTAGGTTATTACTATTATACTTATTGAAGCCCTGCTTTATATCTCCCTCGAAGTGACTTAACATAAAATGCCTTAGCATACAATTTAAAATATACGCTTATGCAAACATTAAAATATGGTTTTTATAATGTGCGTTGAATGTTTTTAATTCTGTTTTATGATCATTGTGTCATTGAATTGTGCCAATTGTAAGCCGCCTTGAGTCGCCTCCGGGCTGAGAAAGGCAGCACAGAAATGCAGTAAATAAATAAAACACAATTAAATATAAACAGTATTTTAAAATCACTAAAATCCAGTAAACATATTCAAAGTTAAAGTTAAAAGGTTCTCTATGGTCAATTTCCAGTGAACTTATGGAGGAGGGCATAGGATTCATGATGGAGAACACAGGATTCATAGAGTGAACACCTTAGGTCCTCCAATGTAAGCTGACCTTAAGAGTCATACTGGAAGACCTAGAGCAGTGGTCCTCAACCTGTGAGTCTCCAGGTGTTTTGGCCTTCAACTCCCAGAAATGCCAGCCAGTTTACCAGCTGTTAGGATTTCTGGGAGTTGAAGGCCAAAACATCTGGGGACCCATAGGTTGAGAACCACTGACCTAGAGGTTCCAGGAGAAACCTCTAGACAGGAGCAGAATTTTAAAAGATTTTAATAGATTAGAGAAATGGGCCAAAATTAACAAAATGAAGTTCAACAGTGACAAATGCAAGGTACTCCACTTAGGCAGAAAAAAATGAAATGCAAAGATACAGAATGGGGGATGCATGGCTCAAGAACTGTACATGTGAAAAAATGGAGTCCTTGTTGACAAGTTAAACATGAGCCAACAATGTGATGCAGCACCAAAAAAAACCAATGGGATTTTGGCCAGCATCAACAGGAGTCTAGTGTCTAGATCCAAGGAAATCATGCTACCCCTCTATTCTGCCTTGGTTAGACCACACCTGGAATCACAGTGTGTCCAATTCTGGGCACCACAATTGATGGGAGATGTTGATAAGCTGGAAGGTGTCCAGAGGAAGTTGACTTAAATGATTAGGGGTCTGGAGAACAAGCCCTCTGAGGAGCGGCTTAAAAAGCTGGGCATGTTTAGCCTGAAGAAGAGAAGGCTGAGAGGAGACATGATAGCCATGAAGAAATATGTGAGAGGAAGTCATAGGGAGGAGGGAGCAAGCTTTTTTTTCTGCTGCCCTAAAGACTAGAACACAGAACAATGGCTTCAAATTACAAGAAAGGAGATTCTAACTGAACACTGCAAATAACTTTCTGACTGTGAGAGCTGTTCAGCAGTGGAACTCTCTGTCCCGGAGTGTGGTGGAAACTCCTTCTTTGGAAGCTTTTAATCAGAGGCTGGATGGCCATCTGTCAGGGGTGCTTTGAATGCAATTTTCCTGCTTCTTGGCAGCAGATTGGACTGGATGGCCCATGAGGTCTTTTCCAATTCTATGATTCTATGAAATGTTTTCTCAGATTAAAGACTCAATGTTTTTAAAAGATGCATGGCTTTTCTTGGAGGTCCTGTGCCCCTAACTCCAGCAAACCTCGAGGGCTGGCTATAATATTATTTTGGGCTTATGCACTGTGTTCTGCCTACATAGTTGTGTTCCCTACTCAAATATATATTATCCGATCCTTTATCCTTTCCATATTTACCATCTTTCGATCCTAATCTTTTACTTTCATTATACCTTTTCTATTAATATTGTCATGCCCCAGAATGTATCTCTGATACTGGATTTGCTTTGTAGTTTTGCCCTCTTTTCTGTATTATTTATTTATAGTATTTATATCCTCCCCCCCCCCCCCACAGGGGACTCAGGGCGGATCACAATGCACATATACATAGCAAATATTCAATACCATAGACACACAACATATATAGATAGATACACAGAGGCTATTTAATTTTCCAGCTTCATAAGGGTATGCTTTTGAATTCCGGCTACCAAGGGAGCTATTGCTTCACTGTGCAGTTTTGACACCAATGGAGTACTTCCTCATTCTTTTGCACGCTGCTTGAGAATTTTATGGCATCGTAATGTAGTTAAATTAGCCTCCCTGCAGTACCTAAATTTTCTACTTGACAGATACGACTGTCTTTCGGACTGCAAAGGTTGACAGCAAGCTAGACAAATGGTCAGGAGGTTAGTCTGACTGAGGCTGGCTTCGAACTCATGACCTTTCAGTCAGGAGTGATTTTAAGGCCGCTTACTCTCAACCGGCTGCGCCACAACCCGGTCTGTACCTCTAGATGTGATGTAATACGTCTTCCCTTCCCTCTCAGTGTTATACTTGTTGTTCTGAAGGAAACATGGCTGCTCAGCTCCTGGGAATTTATCATTTTTCTCCTCCTGTTGCATGATGTTTTACAAGATTTACCTGGATTAAAGCATCTGGAATCTTATCTACGTCTCTTCCGTTGAGCTGAACACTGTCTGACAACATATATCTGGTGTAAGTACTGATTTTATAATGCTGTTTCAAATGTTTTAATTGTATATCTGGCCAGGGTAGTCCATGCCTTAATCACCTCGAGATTGGATTACTGTAATGCACTCTACGTGGAGCTGTCCTTGAAGACGGCCCGGAAATTCCAATTGGTACAACGGTAGCCAGGGTACTAACTGGGGCGACTTACAGGGAGCGGTCAACCACCCTGTTTAAGGAGCTCCATTGGCTGCCATTCATTTTCTGATCCCAATTCAAGGTACAGGTTCTTACCTACAAAGCCCTGAACAGTTTGGGACCCGCCTACCTGCGTGACCGCATTTCTGTGTAAAAACCCATGCGATCTCTTTGATCATGTGGAGAGGCCCTGCTCTTGCTCCCACCCCCTTTGCAGGTGCGATTGGTGGGGATGAGGGAGAGGTCCTTCTCCATGGTGGCCCTCCAACTCTGGAACTCACTCCTCAAGGATAGCAGGCACGCCTCAACTTTGGCAATCTTTAGGAGGAGCTTGAAAACGTGGTTGTTCCAGTGTGCCTTCCCTGAATAAAGGACACAATCCCCTGCAAATTATCCTGAGCAGCACTTTAATTACCCGTTGGGTTGCTCCCCCTACTTCTTGTTTAAAGCCCTCCTACTAGATACATCCTACCTCTGTTCATGTCCAGCGTTTATTTTTTAAAGTTTTAACTATTACATCTGGTCCGGCCATAGGTTTTTAAATCCTTGTGTGTTATTGTGAGTTATATTAATTGTATTGCTTATTTCACTTATTGCTTGTTGTTTTTATTGATGTGTTGTTGGGCTTGGCCTCATGTCAGCCGCTCTGAGTCCCTTGGGGAGATGGTGGCGGGGTATAAATAAAGTATTATTATTATTATTATTAATATATTGTGGATTTTTATGGCATCAAATTGCTGCCAATTTGTAAGCCGCCTTGAGTCGCCTTCGGGCTTGAGAAAGGCTAGATAGAAATATTGTAAATCAATAAAAAATAATTATTGAAGAAGAACTCAACAGGTTCCTGGACCATCTTAACAGCATCCACCCAAACATCCAGTTCACCATGGAAAAAGAAAAGGAAAAAAAACTGCCTTTTCTAGATGTCCTAGTCATYCGCAAACCAGATCAACAATTGGGYCACACCATTTACAGAAAACCCACACACAAAGATAGATATCTACATAAAAACTCCAACCATYACCCAAGTMAAAAAAGAAGCACCATTAAAGCCTTGGCAGAGCGTGCAAAAAGWATCTGCGAAGCCCACCTCCTCCAAGATGAACTGAACCACCTCAACTGGGCTCTCCAGGCCAATGGATATTCCACCTCAGACATCAGAAGAGCTGCAAGACAACCRAGAAAAGCCATGAGAGTCAAGACAAAGCCTCRCCCRGAGGAAAAGTGTTCTTGCCAGACATCAAAGGAAYCACTGACCGCAKAGGGAAGCTGATGAGGAAACACAACATACAAACCACCTACAGACCCACTAAGAAAATCCAACAAATGCTACGTTCAGCAAAGGACAAGAGGGATCCTCTCACCTCCATAGGGACCACCAAACGCAGCAGCATTGCCCAAACATGAATCAAGGAACATGAAAGGCACGGCAGACTCCTTCAACCAGAGAAGTCAGCCATAGCAGAGCACCTGATGAACCAACCTGGACACAACATATTATTTGAGAACACAGAAATACTGGACCACTCTCACAACCACCATGTCAGGCTACACAGAGAAGCCATTGAAATCCATAAGCATGTGGACAATTTCAACAGAAAGGAGGAAACCATGAAAATGAACAAAATCTGGCTACCAGTATTAACAAACTCAAAAATCATAACAGCACAACAACAGAGAAGAAACAAACAAGGACATCTAATCACCTCTCAACAAAAGTTTGCTCCAGGCACAGTCAGGCAATCAAATGCTAATCAAGGTGGTCAGTTGAAACATTCACACCTAGCTCCAACAGACAAGAGTTCTTTGTCTCACCATGGTCATTCCACAGATATATAAACCCATTTCCCTACTTCCAACAGACCTCATTACCTCTGAGGATGCTTGCCAAAGATGCAGGCGAAACGTCAGGAGAAAATGCCTCTAGAACATGGCCATATAGACCGAAAAAACTCACAACAACCTGCTGAAAAGGTAGTTCTAGATGGGAGGATTAGCTCGGATTGATGATTTCTTCTCGAGATGTGGTAAGAGCTCTGTTATTTCTCTGCCATCTTGCTACCAATTTGCAAGCTGCCTTGAGTCGCTTGAGAACGGCTGGCTAGAAATATCGTAAATAAATAATAATAAATAAGTACTGGTTAAATAGAGAGCTACAGCACACTCCCACAACCTCACACTTGCAGCCAGTTATTGAGTCAGAATAAATATATTTTAAGTTGTAATGTTTTTGATTGTATGGAGAGATAAAAGTGGGATGTAAATAAATAAATACATAAATATCAATTTGTATACAAAGATTAAAATAGGATTAAACAGGATTGAGAATAGTCTTATGTGTCCCAGTAGGTTCACGCCAAAAGCCTACTGGTGCGTCCACACTGCAGAGTTAACTCGGTTTGGTACCGCTTGAACTGCCCTGTGCTGAGGAGCGGGGGCTCTTACTTGGTGAAGGCCGCGCCCAGGTCCATCACCACCGCGGTTTTCTCGCCGCCACTCCCGAGGCCTTCGTAGAGCGGCATCGCTGCAGCCTCCCCGGAGAAGGCCAAGCTCCAACTACGGAAGCAAAGGAACACAAGGGGGCCTTTCTCAGAGCGGCGCACGAAGCGGATTGGCCAAACCCCACATTCGGGGGCCTTCCACAGCCGCCGGCGCATATTATAGCTGCCCAAATCCCCGCCTGATGCCAGTCATTATGTATGTCCTCTCCGTAGGGTTTTTTTATTTCCTACTAAACACTTTCTTAAGAAAATACCTTCTTTTTTTTTTAGATGGCGGCCCTCTCTTACTCAATATGTGTCGCTCCAATGCGTGCAGGCGATTTTGTAGACACCTAAAAACACCGCCTCTGTTAACTCCTGCTGAGGAAGCATTGATTCCAAAGGGCTGGGTAAAGAGGTGCGGGTTCTTTGCGATTCGACCAACATTTCCGGTTATAGATAGCCGCCATTGTAATATCAACTTGCATGCACATAGAGGATGGGGCATATATCACATTCATATATATATATATATATATACACATATACACACACACACACACATACATATTATATATGTGCATATTATATATATATATATATATATATATATATATATATATATATATATATAATATGCACATATATAATATGTGTATATATGCATATTATATATGTTATTTATTTATTTATTTATTTCACAGTTTTCTATTCATAGAATCATAGAACCAAAGAGTTGGAAGAGACCTCATGGGCCATCCAGTCCAACCCCATTCTGCCAAGAAGCAGGAATATTGCATTCAAATCACCCCTGACAGATGGCCATCCAGCCTCTGCTTAAAAGCTTCCAAAGAAGGAGCCTCCACCACACTCCGAGCTTCTCAACCTCGTTGAGGGACTCAGCCCGGTTTACAGCCATAAAAACATATACATTCATTAAAATATCATATATCACAAATTACACATCAACTTTAAATACACTAAATATAAAACTACAGTGGTCAGTTGTCCTATTAAGATGGCTGTCCTATGGTGTTGTCTCATTCCTCGAAAGCCTGACTCCACAGCCACGTCTTCACCCGTTTCCTAAATGTTAGGATGGATGGGGCGGTATATGTGTGCGTGTGATATATGTTAATGCATATATATATATATTTACTTTATTTCTATACCGCTTTTCTCAGCCCTTAGGCGACTCAAAGTGGTTTACACAATACAAATATATACGCATTAAAACAAATTATACATAACAGTCAATATCAATAAACAATCATTATCATAACGTCTCAACAACAAATCAGAACACATTCTCATAATCCTTCGTTCCGTATTCCTATGTTCGATTGCACCATATTCCTATATTCGATTGCACTGTTTAGCCAAACGCTTGTTTGAAAAGCCAGGTCTTCACCTTCCTCCGAAACGCCAACAGCGAAGGGGCCTGTCTGATGTCTACAGGTAGGGCATTCCACAGCCGAGGGGCCACCACTGAGAAGGCCCTGTCTCTTCGTCCCCGCCAGGACCTTCGGGCTGCGTGCCGGCTTGGGATACAGAGTGGCCGCTAAGCTGCGTCGCCTCCCCCCCAGAAGTGCTTACGTAGTTCCCCTCGGGTTCACGGTATCCTACCGTGTTCGGCCGCTATGCTGTTGGCGCGGTCCGCCAGAGGCTCGGCCCCGTCCCGGCGTTTGGCCGGGGGTTGGGCTCCCCTCCCTCTTGGTGGTCGGACTTCTCTTTGCGCTGCTCGCCTGCGTATACATGCACGCACATCCATACACCAGACTGTCATCGCATGCTCCTCTCCTCTCGCTCTACCTCTGCATCCGTGCCCATCTCGATGATCGGGTCTCGTCCCTGCCGTCCTATCCTCGGCTATCTTCTTGCGTTCCGGCTAGTATTAGTACCTGTGCACACGCTACATCGGGTCCCTGTCCGTGCTCCACTCCACCCCACTGTTTGTCACAGCTCATTCACTCGTGACACAAACTCGCTGGAGGCGCGAGCGTGGGGGAGGCTCCATTGTCTTTATAGGGGCTCGTCTTCTCCACCGCTGAGAGTACGCACGAAACAGCATCACAACCCGTGGACCAAACGCTAAGGCCTCCTACAAGTGTACCTCCTGGCGCTTGGTCTTCCTTGAGCATTCTGTCTAGGCGTACAATATCGTATAGTGCGCAAGTGGGTGCACCCATTGTAAAGTGTCCCCTCATTTCACCACCCCCCCTCCCTTCATTCGATATGAGAGCATCTCCCTGTATGCCAAGCTTCTCAAGACGGTACAGCCCTCAGATCCACAATTTTAGCGGATACTGTTTTCTGACCTATTTATGTTGTATCACCAAAACCACCATCTCAACCGCATGACTATCACACACACACGCCCCATCCCACACACTACCAACACCAGCACAAAATGTCGATACTCGAGAGCTCTATCTTGCTTCTCCTCCCAGTCGCACAAGCTAATCGAAGGCTCATCCGCCCCCCCCCGCACAGATGACTCCAGGCAGCCTTCACCGAATATACTAGAATTTTCAGTTGGCGCATTATTACACAAAAGATTTAGACCAAAGCCAATCTTACCTACTAGTCCATCCACCTCCGCACTCACCACACTCACAAGTAACGGAGCCCCACCCCAATACGCTTCCCCGCGTATAATCCCTATAGTAGCGACCGATCATCAGATCTGGGAAACAGGTGTTGGTCTAATGATGCATCTAGCCAGAACACACCCTGAACGGAACTTCCACTTGCAAGCAGAAAATCGACACTGTTAACACTTACACTACATATTCATTTGCCCTTTCATTTCCCCGTTTGATACCACTTCCCGTAGACGCAAGCACAATCCATACCTCACGATTTTTGTATCAAATTTCAATATCAGTGCTCACCCCTACTTCTCCGAATCATCCGCTTTGCTTTCTACGCCCCATGCCACGTAGGCTGCACTGCAGCAACAACCTACAATATTCGGCGAAATCTTCTTCTAGGTGTTAGAGCACTGTCATTCTGGGCACGTTGTATAGTTTCGGTGTAAAGAGGACCACCATTTTCCCGTTCGTTACCACTTGTGACCCCAGAAGCGGGTCCTAAGCATAACCAGAAATATCCCAGGCAACCAGAATAGCAAGAACTCCTGGTCTAATGAAAACACCCATATACTAGCAAAGCGGGCAGTCTTCATGGCTTACCATATTGTACACATAGTGGACTGTATTAGAACATGATTTATGAATGTAAATTAAAAAACTGACTTGAGGAAACGGCCTTCCAAATGCTCACAGAACTGATCGCGTTTGTGACCGTTCTTAAACAAGTATTTCTCCCCTTTCTGTCTGACAAATGTGTTAATAAAACATAGCACACTGGACTAGACGTGTTCGCACGAATTAACATAACTTACTAAACTAGAACCCTTACACCACTCTGAATAATAAGAAGAACATAAATCACCATCAGTATTATGACCAAGTATTCTTTGGTGCTTAATCACCTATGTGTGTACGTGCTTCCTTAAAATGGGGATGAAACCAATATGGGTATTAGATGTAAACACGTTAAGCCGAGGCACAAACGCACCGAATAAAGTCACACGTAAACAGTAACTTTAAGCGTAACACTTGCCGGGCACGACCCTCCATCATGGCGGTCCTAATTTTAAATTTGATCTCAGTATCAAAACTGCAATATTGCTACAATGTAGATGAATCTATAATTTCATTTTCTTTATTTCCTTTGATGTCTTTCTGGAAAAAAATCAATTAAGTACTAAGGTAGGGGAATAAATATACTATACAGACTGATGGTGATATCATTTATGTTGTGGTATTCTCTGTTTCCGGTTTACTTTGCCTTATTACTGGGAGATTTTCATTATCTCAACCCAATTCTTCATACCATTGATTTTCTATACATTTTAACAGACTTAGCTTTGGAAGTCTCTTTTTAGGCTTCCTTCCCAGAACTGTAACTCACTTCCTTGTGTGACCTTGGGCAGCACAGAGAATTATCTGGGTCTTCGGACTCAGCAGTTTGCCTTCCCAGCTCATATTTATCTGCTGACTTCCTTTATAAAAAGTTTTAAAAAGATCTTGTTTCTATCATCAGCAGGACAGAACTAGCGCATGTTCTCTAACATTTCACAGATGAAAAATAAGACGTGCATCATCAGAGTGTGATGAGGATGGCAGAAGTTGTCGAACAGGAAACAAATGGGAAGAGGCTGCAGCAGTTTGTTTTTGCCCAACCTTATTGGGAAAGGAAAGATTCTAGCCTCTTAGGGTAGGTAAAGGTTTTCCCCTGACATTAAGTCCTGTTGTGTCTGACTCTGGGTGTGCTGTCGTGCGCTGGGCCTGTGAAAGAGTCTGTAGACAGGACATGATTTCTGAATGCCCAGCAGGACGCTGGGGGTGCCTCGGCTGAGAGGCCTTTCGGATTTCCCCACACAAAGTTCTTTTAAAGACTTAGAAAGTTCAACAAAGTTTTTATTCTCGCGTAAATCTTCAATAAATCACACAAATACTTCAAGGCTTTGAATCAACTGGTGGCTTGCTTAAATCTTGTCCACAAGGGACAGGCAACTTTCTTCATAAACTGTTTCTTCCTTCTACAAGGGAAATCCTTCACCTCTCCCTGGGCAATCTGACTTAAGCTCTGCTGGCGGGCCCCTACACCCGGTCCAAATTGTGTTATGGCTGCCGCGAGTGGTCCTTACCAAACAGAGTCCTTTAGTAGATTTCCAAGAGGAAAGAAGGCTTTCAGTTCCCAGCAAAGGCTGGCTGTAGAGTTGTGGAACTAAATTCCCCAACAAAGGCTATGCTGTAGTTCTCTGTAGAGCTGTGGGACTGGATCCCCCCAGCAAAGCTGTAAAAGACGAAGCTTTCTACAGGTGGAACTGATTCACGTCCTGTACGAAAGGCTTCTCTGTGTGAACTGAACTAGAGGTCCCCCTTTTCCCTCCTTAACCCAGAAAAAGGGGCGGAACTAAAGAACATAATGATAATTGATGGGTCATTGGCCCTATTATTGCAAACCAAGGGAAGCCACCTTATTGCAAAATGCATGGAACTTTGGAATACATGCAAACACTCAATAGAAAGGAAAAGAAGT